ATCAATATCAGAAAAACATCAAGCCGAGCACTCACATGTTTCTCGGATGCAGATTGGGCTGGCTGTTTGGATGATAGAAAATCAACTTCTGCTTATCTCCTTTTCCTTTGGCACACACCCATCTCATGGAGCTCCAAAAAGCAACGTGCCATTGCAAGGTCATCAACCGAGGTTGAGTATAGGGCCTTAGCAACGGTTGCAGCAGAGACCATGTGGCTACTCTCTCTACTAAAAGAAATGAAGTTTCCATTATCACAGCCACCTACACTCTTATGTGTTAACCTGGGAGCAACACACCTCAGTTTTAATCCTGTCCAACATTCCAGGATGAAGCACATTCAGATAGACATTCACTTTGTGCGAGATCTGGTTGAGAAAAAAATTCTTAATGTCCGGCATGTTCACACAAATGACCAGCTCGCAGATTTACTCACCAAGCTGCTTTCACGACAAAGGACATATCACCTTCGAGGCAAGATCGGCCTATCGACGGTAGCCCGTTCTTGCGGGGGCGTATTAAGGAAATCAATGAAATCAATCACGTGCCAATCTTATGATCAATCAAGTGCCAATCCCATGATTTCAGGATCAGTGTTTTCTTTCTGTAAATACTTCTATTAACTGTAATTGCAAATTTTCTTCTTAGTTAATGCCTAAAATTAGGCCTCTGTAGTTGTATAAATACATAGACCATGAATAGAAAGATGTGTGAGTTCAAAATACAAAATCGGTAGCAGCGTTATCTCTTCTTTAGAGGGTACCTGAAAATGATCTATTTTCCCTAGGTAAATACTTTCTAATTGTTAGAAGGAGTTTTAGTCTCGGCTCTGTCCATCGATGTAAACTTAGATATGAATCCGTTGGCTACGCGAGACGGCGAGAGACCCTGCTGAAGCCAAGGGAATAACAAATAAAGTTGTTCCCCTTTAAAAGTTTAAACGGGATAGTTCAAACTCACTCGAACTATACATCAAAATTCATAGAAAAAAATCTTCATGGATCATGTGCTACAAATAGTTTAAAATAAAAAACCAACACAATATATATCAGATTCATGCTCTGTGACGAAACTAGGAAAGAAAAGAGGACTTACTCCAATGGTGTAGACATTGTTAATTTCAATACCGATGTTCTTGCTTAGTGAATATATATCTAATGACATTAATTTCCTTACAAGTTAATATGTATCTACCTATTCCACCACCTGCAGCTTTGGAAATTCAGAAGGGGGTCCAAACAGAAGTCAATTTGGACAAAGAAATATTAATGTTTCTGTATGGCATTTCTTTTTGACTGGACTTTCTGTAAACAGGTAAACTGTCCAAAGTTTCCAAATGTCTTCCATAGAAGACTCCAAGTCAAGAAGACTGTTCTACGTTTTTTTTTGCATTTTTTTCTTGATGAGTGGGGCCTAGTTTTAAGCCTTTGTTTGATAAACATTATTTTGGAGCAAATATAATTTTGAATAGTAATTTCTGGAAGAATGTGTAATTAAAAAGTAAGAAAAAAATTTAAGTTTATATACAGAATATTTT